AAACATTGTTATTAAGCAATGAAAAAAACGATAAAAATAAAAAAAAATCTCATCAAAAGCTTCAGGATATTGATGATGATTATCATTGAAAAAAAAGATGAGAAAAAAAAATCATTCAGCAGCAATCAATTCAATGATTTTTTTGGTGCCGACAAAAATAATGAATTTTTTTCTCAATTGATAAAGACGTAGTGTTTGTGTTTTTTGTGTGTGGGTGGGTGCGGAGAGACTTTTGTTGAGAGATGTTTGTTTGTTTTGAATGGAATTGAATTAATTTTTCCTCATTTTAATTTTGCAAATTTCACCAAAAAAATTCATTATTTATATGTGAGAAAAAAATTTTTTTTCTCGATGATTTTCGCTTACTGCATTTCGCGCTTTTGCTTTTACTGAATCGTTTTTAGCATCTTTTTTAGTTTCTCTATAATTTTTCCCCATTGGCCAAATGAATAATTTTTTTTCGTTTTCGTCTTCTTTCCTGTTTTTTTGTTCGCTCGTTTTTGTTGATTTAATTTGAATCGACATTTACCCACATTCGACAAATGAAAAATTTTTTTTTTACAATGAAAAAAATGAACAAAAACCCAGCAATGATGATGATGAAAATATTCAACATGACAGGCTGACGAAGAAATTCAAATGAAATGAAAATGTTATGTAATGAAATGGAAATGATGATTTTTAAAGCGAAAAAACTTTTTTTTATATATATAAGGGATACACAGTGTGTTTTGATAATTTGATATCGAAATCGATTTTTTTTTCTGTTTGGTTTGAATGAATGAACAAAAAAAAACTCAATTGAAACATATACAATGATGATTGATCGTGGACACCCAAACAACAAAGAAGCAAAGCAGCAACAACAAAGCAGCAAGCGGCGATTCTTCCTTCGTTACGTTTCATATAGTCAATCAAAATGATAATAATTTACAGCAGAATAATACCCGAAAATTGATTCGAGGAAGAAAAAAAAAATCTATTATGTAATATCTCTATGTGTGTGTGTGTGTGTGATATTCATCTAATGACGTTATGTTTAACAGAGAAAACAAAAAAAAAAGTGAAGGAAAAAAAAAATATTGATTAAAATGAAAATGAAAATCAACATGAATGACAGTGAGAGAGAGAGAGAGAGAGAGAGAGAGAGAGAGAGAGAGAGAAACGCAAGGCCATCATCCTAATTGATTTGTTTTTTTTGGTAGATAGATATTCTATGTGATGATACAAATGAAATCATCATCATCATTAAAAATATATATAGAAAGAGATGATGATGATGATGAAAATGATGATTTTGAAAATGATATAAATAATAATAATGTGTGTGTGTGTGTTTTTGCGTGTGTTTCGTTGTTGTTGTTGTGTGTTATTGCAGGTAAACAACATGAAATCAACCAAGCTAATTATTTTAAATGATTAGTTTTTGGATTGTTTGGTTTGTTTGCTTGATTATTATTATGATGAACAACAACATAATCATCATCATCATTGTCGATATCGATTATTACACAACGAGGTAAATTCTCTCTCTCTCCATCCGAAAATGATGAAATAAATGAATGAATGAAAATTTCAATTAATAAAATGAAACAAAAAAAAAACAAAACAAAAAAAAAAGGTACATTAATCGATGACAATAAAAAGTTTACAGAAAAATTTTCCAATTTGAAATTGGCTAACGCCAACGACAAACGAACAAACGAATGACAAAACGAAACAAAACAAAACGAACGACAATGATACGAAAAAAATCATAGAATTTCGTTTTTTTCATTTAGAAAATTTCCTGTTTTTATTAATAATTTGAAATAAATTTGTTTGAAACACAGAGAACGAGAGAAAAAAATCAAAATGAAAAACAACAACAACTATGGTATATGATTGGGGAGAGAGAGAGAGAGTGAGAGTGAGAGAGAGAAAAGAAACTGATGACAATTATATTAACTTTGATTCGTTTATTTGGCTTGTTTTTTTTCTGAACTTTTTGACGTGTTCTGCTCTGTTCTGTTGTTAGTCCAGTTGACATTTTTTGTTTGACATGTTTGTTTGAAACTATACTGT